ATTCCATTGGTCCTGAGGTCTGTTCTTATGCCAGTACCAAGCTGTTTTGATTACTATGGCTTTATAGTAGAGTTTGAAATTTGGTATTGATATTCCTCCAGCAGTGTTCTTTCCGTTGAGGAGCGTTTTTGCTATTCGGGGTCTTTTATTGTTTCATATGAATTTTTGGATTGCCTCTTCTATTTCCTTGAAGAATGAGGTTGGAATTTTGATAGGTATCGCATTGAATTTGTAGATAGCCTTGGGAAGTATTGCCATTTTCACGATGTTAATCTTTCCAATCCAGGAGCATGGGAGGTTTTGCCATTTTCTAAGTTCTGTTTTGATTTCCTTTTTCAAGTTTTTAAGTTTTCATCATAGAGGTCCTTCACTTCTTTGGTTAATTCCGAGGTATTTTATTTCTTGTGGGGCTATTACAAATGGAGTTGCTTTCCTAATTTCAGCCACACTTTTCTCATTGTTGGCATACAGAAAAGCCATTGATTTTGGGGGGTTAATTTTATACCCTGCTACTTTGCCAAAGTTTTGAATCAGCTTGAGTAATTTGGGAGTGGATTCTATGGGATTCTTTAAATACAAGATCATGTCATCTGCAAAGAGGGAGAGTTTTATTTCTTGTTTCCCTATTTGGATCCCCTTTATGTTTGCATCTTGTCTTATTGCTGTAGCTAGGCATTCTAATACTAAATTGAAGAGCACTGGAGAGAGTGGACATCCTTGTCTTGTTCCTGAGTTAAGGGGAAATGGCTTTAGTTTTTCACCATTAAGTATAATGCTGGCTGTAGGTTTGTCATATACAGCCTTTATTGTATTGAGGAATGTTCCATGGATTCCTAATTTTTCCAAAACCTTCATCATAAGGGGGTGTTGGATCTTGTCAAATGCTTTTTCTGCATCTATTGAGATAATCATGTGGTTCTTATCCTTGCTCCTGTTGATGTGATGAATAATATTAATTGATTTGCGTATATTGAACCAGCTTTGCATCCCTGAAATGAATCCTGTTTGATCGTGGTGTATAATTTTTTGGATGAATTGTTGAAGTCGATTGGCCAAAATTTTGTTGAGAAGTTTTGCATCAATGTTCATCAAAGAAATGGGTCTATAGTTCTCTTTCTTTGATGAGTCTCTGCGTGGTTTGACCCCTTCCCTTTGTAAAGTTCCAAGTGGTGTGTACAAGAGGCAATTTGAGAGCCCACAGCAAGATAATCCTGTGGAACTGGGTGGGCATCAGAGGCTCATCCCTGTGATCTTAACTACTTAGGAGGCTGAGATCAGAAGGACTTCAGGTCAAGGTTAGCCCAGGCCAAGAGTTCACAAGATCCCTTTTGTGAAGGGGCACAGTAATTCACACTTGTCATCTCAGCTACAAGGGGAGGCTGAGATTGGGAGCATTGTGATTCCATGCCAGCCTTGGCTAAAATGTTCACAAGACTCCATCTGGATGAAAAGAACTTGGGTGTGGTGGTAAGGTAAGAAGGGTCATAGGAGGGTCATGGTCCTGGCACAAATCCAGGAAAAATAACCAGTTTGAAAAAGTGTTGGGAAAAGAAAAACAAGGGTTGAAGGCATGGCTCAGCTGCAAAGTGTCTGTCTAGCAAGCATTGAGTGTTAATGCTTTGTAGTTCCAGCAAACAAACACCAAAAAGAAACCCTAAATATTTATTTATATTTAATCTTTTCTATTGTCTCTGTTTTTCTGATCCTAGGGCTCAAGTTCTGGGCCTGAGCTTCTTTTTGCTCAAGGCTAGCTAGTATTTTACCACTTGAGCTACGGTACCACTCCTGGCTTTTTCTAAGTAGTTTATTGGAGATAGGAGTCTCATGGACTTTTCTGTCCAGACAGGCTTCAAACTGCAATCCGTAGATCTCAGCCTCCGAAGTAGCTAGGATTTAGAATTACAGGTGTAAGCCACAGGCACCTTTGATCTTATTTTTAGACAAGGAATAAGTCTTTAGCATTTCTTTTCTTTGGTGATTTTGTTTTTTGGTGCTGGTCCTAGGGTTTGAACTCAGGGCCTAGATGCTATCCCTGAGCTTTGATTACTCTACCACTTGAGCCACAGCTCCACTTCTGACTTCTGGGAAGTTTATTGGAGATGTGTTTCATGGTGTTTCCTGCCCAGGCTGGCTTTGAACCACAAATCTCAGATCTCAATCTCCTGAGTAGGTAGGATTACAGAGGCATGAGCCACTGGCACTTGGGTGATCTTTTTTTTAACAACAAAACTCAAAGCCAGGCACTGGTGGCTCCTACCTGTAATCCTACCTACACAGGAGGCTGAGATTGGAGGCTTATGGTTCAAAGCCAGCCTGGTCAAGAAAAGTCCATGAGACCCATTTCTGCAACTAACCAGCAAAAAGCTGGAAGTGGGATTATGACTCAAGTGGTAGAACACTAGCCTTGAATGAAAATGCTAAGGGACAGCACTCAGTTTCTGAGTTCAAACCTCAGTACCAACACACACACACACACACACACACACACACACACACACACACATCTGAAGTCACTCCATCACGAACTTCATGACTCTCATGCCTTCTAAACACCCAAGCTGCCAGACTTGAGAGCTGTGCCCGGCTCCAATGGAGAAACAGACGGTGTTTTTCAGATCCTAGAGGAACTATGTGAGCTGAGAAGTTGGGAAGGAGGCAAAGGTCAGCAGGATCCAGTTCACTAGTCACCAGCCCGGAACAGAAAAGCCAGACCATCTGTGTAGCTCAGATATTCCAACTATTCCCATGAGAAGCATGGCATGTGAACGAACCAGGGACCACACTCTGGAGCGAGGCCTCCTTGGCAGTGACTGAGGAGTGTCCAGAGACTGGCTCAACATCGGGAGGTGGAGGAGACTCTAGCCAGACTTCATATGATTCTGAAGGAAATAGGAAACATCATTCCTTGAGCACCCAGTTGGTACACAGAGGTCAAGGTAGGGTTGTCCTCTGGGACAGCAAAGACCTGCTGAGGGAGGCATGTCTGCAGTGACTGCTGGACCAATTGCTCTAGGACAGGTGGACAGGGTGAGTGTGAACTGGAAGCTGTGGTTGACCAGGGAATGAATCTAGATATCTATGACCACCCAAGTTTATAAGGTAGCTTAGGAAACTTCAACACACCCAGGTAGACCGGTCTCTACTTCAGGATTAGCAAAATAGGAAACACTCATTTGTTATATGCTTGTCTGACTTTGCACAGGTGGATTCAAAACAAACCAAAGTCAACTAACAAAAAGATAATAATAAAGGATTTCCAGGAACCAGAGGCTCGTGCCTGTAATCCCAGCTAGAGTATCCAGGAGGCTGAGATCTGAGGATCTTGGTCTGAAGCCTTGAGGCCAAATAGGAAAGTCCATGAGACTCTTAGCTCCAATTCAACACCAAAAAGCCAGAAGTGTAGCTTTGAGCACAAAAGCTCCAGGACAGGGCCTGGGCCCTAAGTTCGAGCCCAGGACCAGCACCAAAAAAAAAAAAAAAAAGATTGCCAGTAAGGTTGTAAAAATGTGCATAAAGACAAATAAAACACAAACAAGACAAGCAAGTGAACTCCATAGCCTTGTCCACGTGATAAGCTTAAATGTCTCTGTAATTTTTAGGAAAATACCTAGATTGTTTAGCCTCTAAGTTCCTACTCTCTTGAAAACTTACAATTCTCCCTGGAGGAAGAGAGGTCCATCTACATGCTGCGGAGAAGGGGAGGGATACCTTCCAGAAGTTGTCTTGCTTGTGATGGAAATGGTGCTTGCCAGAAATGTAGAAATGGAACTCTCACAGGAGAGATGTCGGAATCTTGTTTAGGGTCCATCACTAAAGAACTGCTGTTATTACAACTAAAGTGAGAAGAGGGGTGGAGAGGAAATAAAAGAGGGGAGGGGAAGACAGAGGAGAGGAGAAAGTTAGGAGGAGGATGGGAGGGGAAGGCAGCAAGGAGGGGAGAGAGAGAGTCCAGCTAATGGGCCTCCCTGATCAGCCCTCTACCTCCTCCGCCTTGCCTCTTTCTCCATGTGTTTCCACCTGCAGCCACTGCAGCCAGGCTCCCTATCTGCCCGGTGCAGGTGCTTGCTAACTACTCCTTCAAAGAACACATGAGTGAATGAGTGCTGGAATGGGTAAGCACCAAGATGGTGCTTACCACGTTCAACCCTGCTGTGTCCTGTGGCAGAGGATCACACTAGCTTCCCCCTCAGATGATCCTGCCACCCCCCAGCCATCCCCATACATGGAAGCAAAGGACAGGGCCATTCTTCACCACTAATAGTGCTGCTCTTCTGGGGTGCTTTTCTCCGAAAACTTGCTGACTGAAGGGCTGGCAAAATGTGTGTCTGGAGAAGAAAAGCATGCCACACGGTTGGTTATACATGCAACTCCGTGGGAAGCTCCAAGAACAAATGACATCAGCGCAACCCATGTCGTGGTGAAGCTCCACTTTCTTGGCAGGAAGACAAAACTAAGAGTCAAGAAACAAATCTGGCAGCATTTTCCAAGTATCAGAGGGGCTGAGAGCACTCTACAGGGTGTGAAAAGTCCTGAAGTTGCGCCAAGACCTTTTCTTTGGTCTTTTTTTTGGGTGGGGGGGCGGGAGGGGGGGGGGGTCTGGTCTTGGGGCCTGAACTCTGGGCCTGGGCGCTGTCCCTCAGCTCTTCAGCTCAAGGCTAGCGCTCTACCACTTGAGCCACAGCTCCACTTCCGGCTTTTTTCTTTTTGCTTATATGGTGCTGAGGAATCAAACCCAGGGCCTCAGGCATGCAAGGCAAGCACTCTACCACGGAGCCACCTTCCCAGCCCCTTCTATGGTCTCTTGACCATAGAAAAAAATAATTTCTTTTACAAATTTGACTTACCAGTAAATTCTCACAGTTTCAAGACAAATATACTCCACACCAAGATGGGGTGAGAAAGTCCCATGCTTGGATTTCTGGCTGCCAACCCTAGTTGATATGGTGGGACCTTGCGTTTGTGTGATTAGTAAGTTTCTCTCACAATGAAGAAACAAGTCATTTTACAAACAAATATTTTTAATATAAAAGAGAAGTAAATATGCTATCATGCAAGAAATAAGCTATCTTCAACTTGAAGCTTTTCTCTTTCCAAAAGATACAAGATGATTTTTTTTTAAAGATAACAAGAGGCACAGTGAAATCACATTCATACCTATGAGGAACAATTTCAGTTCATAATGAAGTGCAAATAGTTTTCATAGTTTTCACCAGCTTGAAATTAAAAAAACAATGTTGGCACAATTATTATTTTCCATAATTTTATGAGTTACAAAAAAGAAAGCACTAATCATGTACTTTAATATTGTCATTTTATGTGTTTTATCCCCAAAATTACAAATAATCCTGAAGATAGAGTCTCAGGTTTATCAAATCTTGTATAAAAGTATTGAGACATGTATTGAGCATAAGTAATGTATTACTTAGACAAAACCATATAATAGAATATGGTTCACACAACTATCTTTTCTGTTTATTTCACTTTTGAAATAAAAAAGAGGTAGGTTCAAAAGAAGCAAGTGCCTATTATGTGACTAGATTTTCATGAAAATGTTGGCCATCTATAAAAAAAAATCAAATGAGTCTGCAAACCAATTTTTTAAAAAAACAACTCCAATTAATAAATACCTTCCTAAGTTCTAAGCACTCAAATTAGAAAAGAAAAAGAGTTGATCACAAAAAAGGCTTATGAATGCTACCACTATCATAAATTAAGGATTCTATTGTGTCCCTAAAACTTGAGACAAGTGAAAATGTGGATAATGTATGATTTACAAATTTAAATATAGGTATTTAATGTATAGGACTAGTATTATTACTATTGATATGTACTTTTCTCAGCTTTCTGCTGCTCAAATCCAGAATGGAAGGTTCGAAACAATTCAGCAAGGAAGAAGAAATCAGTGTACCATTCACCCATGATCAACACTTCATGTCAATAGGAGAGGAAGTTCAGATGACAACAAATGGTCCCAAGAAGCCTTCTTGCTTAAAACAGAATCTGATTCAAAAAGTAGGAAACAAAGGACTAACGAAAGGATGTAATTCCAACACAGGTGCAAGTAAAAGAGGTTTGCTTCAAGCAAAACGTTTCCAAGCAATGGCAGAATAACAGAATCTTACACTTAAGTTTTCTCATGCTGATCATTTAACAGTAATATAAGGCCATCAGTGTTCAGCTCCAGGAACCAAATAACAATGGAAGTAAAAAGGAAAAATGACTACACTGAAATAAATATCTCATTGTTGCTCTGTATAAATTTGCCCTTGTGTCCGTCCCTGCCCTGCTTATAGAAAGACAAGAATATAAACTCTATACTTACATAGCTGTTATAAAGTATATTTTAAATACACTGATTTTTAATTAGTGGTTCTCAGGAAATTTTAAGAAGTCTATTAAGACATTTAAAATGTATAAAATAAGTTCACTCTCAAGATTTTCTGATCATTGCGCTAATCTTTAAAAAAGACATTTGTATATCAAAGAATTGGCATAAATTTGAACCAACCAGAATATAGAGATCAGTGAATGGTAATTCTACCACACAAAAACAAATACAGTTTACACGAGTACATTTTTAGGTTTATACTTCCAGGCACTAATCTATAGAAGGACTCATCGGAAAAGTGCAGTTTTATGGGTTTTTTCCAAAACGTATATATAAAACTATGATTTAAAAAATTGCTGAGTATATAAAATTGAGCCCAACTGCTTTGAAATGATCGCTAATAAGACACTTCCCTTTTGTACAAAAGAAAATAATACGCAGCTGCTTTGATCCTGGTCTTGCTGCAGTTCTCGAAGTCAGTGCAGAGAATGTGGAAGTTTCCACTCATCGTGCCAAAGCAGAAATTTCAACTTGTCATTTCTGGGTGACGCCTAACGTCTGCTTCATGTTTTCATACACCACGTAACTGATGCCTACGGCAGGAAGGACCTTCATGAAGTTTGGGGTAATGCCCCTATAGAGCCCTGGCACGCCTTCTTTGGAAATGATTCGGCGAAAGAGGCCCATCATGCTCAACTGCTCAGTTTCTTCCACCATGGCTAGAAATATATACATACACATATTTTTAAAGGCTAATTCAATACTCAAGCATGTGAGATAAGCGTTATAATAAACAACTCCGATTCCAAAATCATGTCCAAAATGCAACGCAAGGATAAAGTGTATCCCAAGGGAACCAAGAAAATACCCTTTAAAGATCACTGAATAGGGAGTTCTCTACCTATAATAATGATAATAGTCATCACAATTTTTTTGTTTTATTAGCTTTGTTATCTTTTTAAAAGTATGTTATTATTTTAAGTAATTGTACAAAAGAATCTGCATTCAGCAAAGCAGGTCCTAAATGCAGTGCATCTTGATCAATCAACATTCTCCCCATCTCCCCCCTTCCATCCCTCCTCTTCCCTTGCTTTTCTTAATTTGTAGGTTATGTATTGAATTTTTTTTTTGCCATTTAACCAAGCAGATTCTGTATCACATCTTGATCTGTTCTTTATTGAGTAATTACCATGTGCTTGATACTGAGTTAATTACTTTCCATGCTAGCCCTACAAAGTAAATGGATTCATTTAATGACTGAGAAATTAGAGGCTTGGAGCGATCCTGAAACATTCAGTTAGCAGGTGGTAGAGCTAAGAGCTCACGGCCCCCAGACTCTGAAACCATAACTCACCATAGCTCTCCCTGCCTCCTCCCTTACCACACCAAGCACATAAGGAAGGGCACTTCAATGCTGGGACTCAGGGGAAGCAAGGGGACACTTTGGGAATCTTAGAAAACGTTCTGGGGACCTGGGCCTTCTGGACGATCTCAGTAGGCAAGGGGAGGCCTGTGTCACTGGCAACACACAGTCGAGGGCAGGAACCCCACACAGCGAGGGGACCTGGTGACTTTTGGACATGGAGCACCAAGAGGCTGCAGTGGGGTAGTACCATTAGGGGTGGAGAAATGGAGATGGAGCCAATCTGAAGTGGGTTCAGATTACTAAAGGCTTTGGAATTTACTCTGAAGACACTGAGGAGTGACAGAGAGAGAGACGTCTGAGTGGATATAAAATAATCAGGCCAGCCAGGTACTGGTGGCTCCTGCCTGTAATCCTAGCTAATAAGGAGGCAGAAAAGCCCCTGAAACTCTAGGACAGCACCCAGGGTCAGCGCACACACACGCACACACACACACACACACACACACACACACACACACACACACACACACACACACACACACACACACAGATCAGAACTTGACTTTACCAATGACAAATCTGGTGGCCATGCCAAGACCGGGACTAGAACTTGCAGACTAGAGAGAAGGACTCGCCTGGCTCATAACGTTTGAGTCAGACTGCCTGCCATCAACTCCTAGCTCCACTACTTTCCAAATGCTTATAACCTGGTGCAAATTCTTAATCTCCCCCTGCACCAGTTACTCCCCTGCCAAGTGTGAACAATATTGCTATTGGGTTCCTTAAAATGGTTATGGCGAGAGAATACACATGTGACATTTAGTTTGCTACTTGGCACCTTCCTGTGCAGCCATGACTGTCTTGCGTTATTCTGTCCCAGTGCCTTTTTTCCACATGTGTTTCCTCGAGCTGAAATGCTTTTTCTATTCATTTCTTTTCTCTCTTTTTTCCTGGGTGAGCCAGTCTTGGGGCTTGAACTCAGGGCTTGTGAATTGTCCCTTAGCTTTTTAGCTCAAGGCTAGCACTCTAGTACTTGAGCCACAGCTTCATTTCTAGCTTCTTTTTTTGTTCACTGGAGATAAAAAGTCTCACAGACTTTCCTGCCCAGGCTGGCTTCAAACCATGATCCTCAGATCTCAGCCTCCTGTGTAGCTAAATGAGGTGTGAGCCACCAGGATGGCTGGAATACTTCTGTCTTGACCCACTTTTCCTTCCTGTGCTCATCTCACTCATATTTGTTTTCCTAGTTCCAGCTAGAGTTAGGGAAGAGCCTTGTTTTGAACTCTCCTAACAAAGAGGAGGTGGTTTGATATGTGTGTTTACTTGCTATGCCTTCTCTACCAGCTGTTGAGTGCTCTGATGGCATCTGGCAGAGTGCCTAGAGTCCAGGCTCAAAAATTAGTAGTAATTAGTGGATAAACACTTGGTCAAAGGAGGGATGGGTACATCTGGAAGACAGATTGAAGGTGCAGCCACAGATGCAGAGCATTTACTATTAAAAGGAAAGAGCTAGCCTCCTGTGGCTCACGCCTGTAATTCTACCTATTCAGGAAGCTAAGATTTGAAGATCATGGTTTGAAGCCACACTGGGCAGAAAAGTCCATGAAACTCCTATCTCTAATAAATTACCAAAAAAGCCAGAGCTGTAGCTCTGTGGGACTGAAGCTCTAGCAGTAGAGAACTAGCTTTGAGCAAAAGAAAAAGTTCTGGAGACAGAACCCAGGCCTGGAGTTCAAGGCGCAGGACTGTCCAAATATATATATATATATATATATATATACACACACATACATACATGGAATGCAGGAAAGATGGGGGAGACTGACGGAAGAGGTAATATTAATCAAGATGCATTTTACTCACATACTGACATGTTGAATTGAAACCCTTTTTGTATAACTAAAGAGAATTTAAAATTATAAGTGAAAAATAAAAACAAAAGGAATGAACAACAGTGAGTGAAACTGACCAGGGAAAAGGGGGAAAAAGGAAAAGAAACACATTAGAATGCATGAATGGAACAGCATTAAAAGTCAGCAGTGGTAACAAGAGAATAACCAATGTGCTGGCAAAAGAATCAGGCTAGCAGCACAGTATCATTTAAGCCAGTGGAGGAGGAGACCCAGATCAAACACACTAACAGCAACTCCAGCCATCACTTCTTGAGAATTTAACAAGTACATGTGCTTTACTTACACTGTTGATAGGTCCTTTCATTACCATTCACAGAAGAAAATGAAAACCCAGAGTTGGGGCAAGAACCTACCCCCAAACCCATCTACTTATCAAACCTAGCCAGGAAGCAGTAGCTTCCAGCTATAATTATAGCTACTCAGAAGGATGAGAGCTTAGCAACAAAGTTCAAAGCCAGCTTGGGCAGAAAAGACTTCAATCTAATTAATCCGCAAAAAGCTAAAAATGGAAAATGGGACTCAAGTGGTAGAACAGCAGCCTTGAGCAAAAAAGCCAAATGAGACTGAGAGCTCCAGTAAGGAAAAAAAAAAGCAAAAGGGATACCAAACTTTATATACTTTTATTACACACACACACACACACACACACACACACACACACACACACAAAACATCATTCTGCTTCTATATAAATCATGCATGCACATGCACTATATCCATGGCTTTGGAAAAGGGAGGCTAAGGAGGCTAAGACCTGAGGATGGCAATTGGAAGCCAGCCTGGGCACCAAAGTCTGAGATTCTCATCTCCAACAAACTACTCATAAAAGGCTAGAAGTGGCCCTGTGGTCCAAGTGGTAAAACACTAGCCTTAAACAGAAGCAGCTCAGGGACAGTGCCAAGCCCTGAGTTCAAGCCCCAGGACTGGCAAAAAAAAAAAAGTACATGATTGACACAGCCCTGTTATCAGTGCCATCCTTTAGCCAAAACCTCACCTTGAGCCTGCATTCGAGTCCTCACCAGAGACAAAGGATAGCTGGCCAGCTGCCCACAGGTACTGGACAAGGCCCCACAGCTCAGCAATACCATGACCCCTGGGTTGACAGAGTCTTCTGCAAAATTATCCAGCCAGTATGACTTCAAGAGCTGCCAAAAAAAAAGAAACAAGAAGAAAAATTATCAATAACTAGCTGCTTCCACTTAATACAAACATTCTCACAGTCTTGTCTTCAACTTGCTTTGTGCATTGGGGCGTCAGGTTGTCAGCAACAGCTCTGATGAGAAAAGTAGGGATTCAAAACACAAGAGATCTGCACTGGGTGCTCATTTTCTTCCGAACAAACATGGAGATCAACAGCACACAAAATGTTCTAAGATGTAAACAACATTTCTCTACACACCAGAAAGAAATTAGGAGAATAGTAGTTCGAGACCAGGCCAAGCCAAAAAAAAAAAAAAGCAAGATCCTTTCTCAATAAATAAGCATGGTGGTACACTACTGTAATCCTAGCTACAAAAAGGAAACAGAGACAGGAAGGTTGGGTGCTCTACCAATTGAGCCACACCACTAGCCTGACTCTTTGCTGTTATTTTTGGAGATGAAGACTGTCAGGCTCTTCCTGAGGCTGGTCTCAAAACATTATCCTCCAGGTCTCAAGGATACACTTAAATGATTTAAATGGTAATTTTTAAATTCACACACCCAAGACAACAGATTAACCAATCCAAGAAGAGATGATCAGGAGACTCAGCAATGGTTTTCATATGGGTAGAAGAGATGCACTCTAACTATAAATAGACTAGCATGGTTAATCAGTGCAAATCAGCAACCCAGCCTTCTCTGTCAATGTTATCCAGTCTTAGGCACAGCCATTAAAATATTCACACACCTGGCAGCATGGTCAATTCATTTATACCACAAGCCTCACACGAATCTGAGTAGCACCTTGCAACAGTGATGCAAAGGTATTTATCACTAGGCAACAGGAAAATTTTAGTTCCACTGTAATTGCCCTCATCTAGGTGGTCCCTCCCTGACCTAAATATCATTATGAGTTACACAACAGTATAGACACACCATGAAAGAGTGCTCTGCCAATAGACGGAATGAAGATCTCATACCTGCCAGGACATGAATAAACCCTGAAGGTATTATTAAGGTCTTAAGTGAAGTGAGTCAGACACAAAATACCAATAGCATATGATTCCACTTATGAAACATCAAATCAATCTAAATTCATAGAAACAGGAAGTAAATTGGAGGTTATAAAGGGGTAGAGGAAATAGAGTGACTGTCCACTGGTTTAAAAGTTTCTGTTTGAACTTTTTGAGCTGACAAAAACATTTTGCAATTCTAGCTTGGTGAAAACTGCACAAATTATGAATATAACTAATGTTGTTTAATGATACACTAAAATGGCAATTTTATATTCTATTTTACCATAATTTGTGATATGCCAAAAAGCCACTGATATGTTGAACTGTATGCTTTAAGTAGGCTGACTTGGGATATGCATTTTATCTCAATCAAGCTCTATGTTTAAGAAAGTATTCATTATACATTCCTTCTTCCCCTGAGTTATAAATTGTATTCCTCAACATGTGTCCTGGCTTATGTTTATCATGCACATCTGACCACACTGCTTTAGTTTTTGTCGTCCAGCTCCCCACCACATCTCCAGTTTTTCCTTCCTTTCCCTTCCTTTCCTTCTTCTCTCTTACTCTTTTTCTTCCTCTTTCTTTCTGAGGTACTAGAAGTCAAACCAGGGCCTTGTGAATGTTAGGCAAATACCCAGCCCTTGCTCAATTGAGACACAGTCTCATTATGTAGATGAGGATGGCCTAGAACTCACTACATAGTAAAATCTGGCCTCATAGTCTTGATCTTTCTACCTCCGTGCCCAGCTCAAGCCTTCAGTTTGAGTCTTTCTTCCAAACCCTAGCTCTAGTATATCACCCAGGGGCTTATGAACAGGATGTGCTCTGTAAATGCTCATCAGACTCATAAAATATTAAATAACTTCTATGGCAGGATCAATCTGAGATGTGTGTTTTGATTTGTTTGTCCAGTAGTTACATTAATCACTAAGCTACCAATTTAAACAAAAAATGTGGCATTGTTTTGCTGCCTTCTTCAAAGTGGAAAAAACATCCCTCGAAAGAGAAAGGGCTTGTTCAAAGTAGAATGTAAGCCAGGAACTGGTACCTCAGCCTGCAATCCTAGTCAAGAGGCTGAGATCTGAGGATTGCAGTTCAAAGCCAGAAGAGGCAGGAAAGTCCTCTTATCTCCAATTAACTTCCAAAAAGAAAAAAAAAAAAAAAAAAGAGTTGGAAGTGGCGCTTTAGCTCAGTGGTAGAGCTCTAGCCTTAATCAAAATAGCTCAGGGATACTGTCCATACCCTGAATTCAAGCCCCACAACTAGCACCAAAACAAACAAAAAAAAAAGTAGAATGCATTCATGTATAAAATTGTCACAGTAACATTCTTTGATGTTATAGATGTATATCAATTCAAACTTAAATATATGTTAATTCAAATTAAAGAAAGGGACAGAGGAGAGGAGGGAGGGCAAAGTAGAGGAGAGGACAAAAAGAAGGAAGGTTCTCATACCCAAGGTCTCTTAAACAGAGTATGTGCATTTTTATAGAGAGCTAAGAATGCATGCCTTGGATCTACATCAGCACTGCTACAAACTCACCTCATACACAGCAAGATCAATACCTGCATAAGGTATGATGCCTAGCAAATTGGGAACATAACCTTTGTAAAAAGCCCCAATGCCTTCACGTTTCAAAATCTTCTTGGCACAATCATATATTCCATAATATTGCCCGGTTTTGCCAACTGCTAGCCGGGTTTTCAAAACCTGGATAGAAAAAAGGTAACAAGATAACTATGTTTATACTAATTCACAATGGAAATCAACAGGAACGAATTTTAGGGTACATAACTACTAACAAATCTTGTCATTCAATGACTACCCTATTTGTTGGCCATGCTCTTGTGTATTACCTCCATTGAGGGGCCAAGACCAGAGCTGGATGACGAACTTTTGTGGGCAGAGGATCTGAAGGGGGGAAGTGATGAGGACATGGAGATAAGATAACCCTATCAGTGTGATCATAAAATGAATTGGTGTATGGTCCAGGCGTTGGTGGCTCACACCTGTAATTCCAGCTACTCAGAAAGAGATTGTGGTTTGAGGCCAATCCTAGAAGGAAAGTCTGTGAGACTCTTATATCCAATTAACCACCAAAAACCAGAAGGGGAGCTATGGCTCAAGTGATAGAATGCCAGCCTTGAGCAAAAAGGCTTCAAGGACAGTGCCCAGGTACTGAGTTCAAGCCTTAGCAATAACATCAAGGAAAGAAGAAAGGAAGGAAGGGAGGGAGGGAGGGAGGGAGGGAGGGAGGGAGGGAGAGAGGGAGGGAGGGAGGGGAGGGGAGGGGAGGGGAGGGGAGGGGAGGGGAGGGGAGGGAAGGGGAGGGAAGGGAAGGGAAGGGAAGGGAAGGGAAGGGAAGGGAAGGGAGGGAGGGAGGGAGGGAGGGAGAGAGGGAGGGAGGGAGGGGAGGGGAGGGGAGGGGAGGGGAGGGGAGGGGAGGGGAGGGGAGGGGAGGGAAGGGAAGGGAAGGGAAGGGAAGGGAAGGGAAGGGAAGGGAAAGGAAGGGAAGGGAGGGAGGGAGGGAGGGAGGGAGGGAGGGGAGGGGAGGGGAGGGGAGGGGAGGGGAGGGGAGGGGAGGGGAGGGGAGGGGAGGGGAGGGGAGGGAAGGGGAGGGGAGGGGAGGGGAGGGGAGGGAAGGGAAGGGAAGGGAGGGAGGGAGGGAGGGAAGGGAGGGAGGGAGGGAGGGAAGGGAGGGAGGAAGGAAGGCTTATTGCTTTCATTTGGGGAGAACTTATTACACAATACATAGCTGAAACAAACAGCATTGAGCACCTACACATACCAACATGCCATAGTGGTACTTACCTCCATGGGATAGATAAACGTCTGTGCTGTAGCTCCAGCCATAGAACCAGAGATAAATCTCTCCAAAGTTCTCACTTGCTGTCCTTCCTCAGTAAGCAACTTCTTGTACTGTATGAATAAGTGTTTGGAAGCATATTAATACCTGCTATGGCCGCAACTCTGCCTCAGGAAGTTCCTATGTTGGAGTAGGAGATGGAGCCTTTTGAAGGAGGTTTGGTTAGGTGAGGTAGAGAACCGGTGACACGAAGAGCATTCCTATAGGAGGAGAGCCCAGAAGGGCTGCCTTTCATTGATGTATGCATAGAGAAAGGGACATCTGACCCCTCAGCAAGAAAGCAGCTACTGTCTGGCATTAGTGGCTCAAACCTGTAATCCCAGCTATTTTGAGGAGGCTGAGATCTAAGGAGCCTGATTCAAAGCCAGCGAAGCAGGAAAATCCATGAGACTGTTGTCTCCAATTAACCACCAAAAGTCAGAAGTGGAGCTGTGGCTCAAATGGTAAAACATCAGTTAAGAGACAGTATCCAGGCCCTGAGTTCAAAATTCACCAACACACACACACATACACACACACACACACACACACACACACACACACACACGAAGGAAGGAAGGAAGGAAGGAAGGAAGGAAGGAAGGAAGGAAGGCAGGCAGGCAGGCAGGAAAGCAGGAAAAAAGGAAGGCAGGAAGAAAGGAAGGCAGGAAGAAAGGAAGAAAGGAATTTTCAAACACGGGGAGTTTTTATCCTCACTAGAAACTAAATGATCTGGTCCTTGGATCCTTCAGGACTATGAGAAATACATTTCTATTGTTAAAGTCACATACTTGGTGGTATTTCATTAGGATAGCCCAAGCAAACTAAGATATTAGGAAAATACTTCCTAAGAATGACCTCATCGATAATGTGATGATGGCGCATCAAAACGCTGCATTACATTACCAATACCTAACAGAGAAGCAAAGCTTAAGTGCCAGCACCTTCAATTTCCTCAATAGTGGTTTTCCAGTTAGAGTTTCACAGAACACAAGCTGTGCTTTGGCGAAAGCAGTTTAAGAGCTTTCATTCCCAAGTGACCAGAAAAAAAAAATAGGGTTAATAAATTTTTTTTAGATATTTGCTCCTATAATTTCTTTTTAAAGAGAAATTTATTTTCACTTGTGGAAATAAAACCAAAATAAAAGTATTGATCCTCAAAAGACTCCACATAGAGCTCCCCTATGACCCAGCAATCCCTCTTTTGGGCATTTACCCAAATGATCACAAACAAGACCACACTAAAGCTACCAGCATGATTATGTTTATTGCAGCATTATTTACCATAGCTAAGATATGGAACCAACCCAGATGCCCCTCAGTAGATGAATGGATCAAGAAAATGTGGTACATATACACAATGGAATTCTATGCCTCCATCAGAAAGAATGACATTGCCCCATTTGTTAGGAAATGGAAAGACTTGGAAAAAATTATATTAAGTAAGCCAGGCCCAAAGAAACATAGGTCCCATGGTTTCCCTTATTTGCAATAACTAGTATATGTCCGAGTCAAACAGAAAAGGTCAGGTAAGTTGATGCTAGGGAAATGAACCCTAAGATATGTATTCAAATGTTTTTTTTTCTTTCATGCGATTGTTTCTAACATTATAAGATGATTTCTTTGTTGCTTTGTATGTCCCTCCCCCATGGTATAACCCCTGCTTTCACTGTATTTGATGTTGTTGTAATTTGTGGAGGGGAAGGGAAAAAACAAATCGTTTAAATAGGGATACAGGTGGACCCATTGCAACAATGAGACGTACAAGTCCTTATGTCGAAAATGAACTTTACAACTTTGGGGGGAGGGGCGGGGAGGGGAGAGGGGGGCAGGGGTTTGGAGGGCTGGGGGGCAGGGGAAAAAATTTTAAAAAGTATTGATAAAACAATCTTTGTCAATATTTAACAAACAAATATTTACAACTTAGGGAACCGTTTTTGGTAGATGTACATTTAATTAGACTAGCACATTGACCCCAGTACTTCCTGACCCACCAGTACCAAAGCAACCCAACAGAGCTGATTGGACCAAAGAGGGAACTATGACTCAAGTGAAGTCAAAATATTAACTAGTCTGGATGCTTCTATTATAGGATCTGGAGTCAGGAAGATGTATGCCAGAACCTCTGAGCCAGGTGGCCCTGACAAGTTCATGAACTTCTTCAAGTTGCCTTATCTATGTTAGCACAAGCTATGGCTGTTGCTAGGATTAAATAACACATGATATGAAAATTAGCACTGTGTTAGGCACATGGTGAATGTTCAGAAGTTATTATTACTACTAACAGATTGTCTTCACACTCATGGAAAGAAAAGGTTCTGCCCTTGCAGTGGCTATGGAGTTAGCCAGGTGCCTCAGATTCCTTCTCTTGGAAATAGGGTGTGGGTCTGGGAAAGCAATCGCTGGTTCCAGGTGGAGACATGGGTAAGACCACAGAGAAAAGCAGACACGGGTGGAGAAGGAGAGGGTCAGGGAGATTCTCTAAGGATCCTTCCCTTTCTCCCATGCTGCCCATCCTCCCGCCCCAGTGATTTTCAATCCCAAACTAGGCAGCTGCTGCTTCTTGAAATTTAAAGGGCCTAAAGCAACAAGATAGGACTCATTTCTCCTAGCAAGATTGTGTTTCTCTGCTCATGATAAAAGTTAGACACAGGAAGTGGTGCTGTGGCTCAAGTGGTAGAGCGCTCGCCTTGAGTTGAAGAGCTGAGGGACAGCGCCCAGGCCCAGAGTTCAAGCCCCACGACCGACAAAAAAAAAAAAAAAAAAAAAAAGTTAGACACATTACTATTTCCTGAAGTTACTCAAATAGTAGATACTCTCCACAAATGAGCTCAAGTATTTCTAAGGACTGTTTCCTGAATGACCAGGATGCTACATAAGACTCCTCTTCAGATAGGCTCAAATACTTTTCCTGTCACACTGTCAAAATAAATAAATGCAATTTGTTAAGAACCTATCATCTGTAATGTTAGCTATATACAGGTATATACCTGTAATCTCAGTACCGGGGAGGCAAAGACAGGAGGGTCTTGAATTCAAGGCCATGCTGGGCTACATGGGTAATTCTGTGTCTCAAAAAAAAAAAAAAAAAGGAAAGAAGGAAAGAGGAAGGGAAGGAAAGGAGGAAGTTTCTCTTTGCCATCTAAAATATTTCCATAAAGTATTTCCATAAAGTCCCCGCCTCCAGTCCAATCTCACTCTTCTTTTTTTTTACCACTCCTTTTTCCAAACTAATCTTCCTTCAGTGTGAATCCACTCATTTCAGTTCCCTGCCTACGATGCCTACTAGCCCTCGCTCTAATCCAGATGAAGGAGAATCCTGGCGTATCTGGTTTGTGCCTCCTTTCACCATACTCTAACCACAAGTGCCTTGCACTCCACCTGAGGCACAGAACCACCTAGCATTCCTTCCGCCTCTGTGCTGTGCCTCTCCTACACTTACAATCTCCATCCTCCCTCTCATCTAAATGGCGGGAGAGTCCAGTTTACAGGCTCTAATTCTAGTCCTTCTCACCCACTCAGCAATGTTTGTTGATACCGGGCTGGGAATGCAAACTATGAAAACAAACAACTAGTGCCTAAGAAAGCTCCCAGTCTCACAAAAGCCAGGTGTCAGGTACTGGAACAATCAAGACTCACTAAGGAAGAGCTGAAAACAAAGAAAACAATTGGAACCATAGCAACAAAGAAGATTCCCTGAAGAAAATCACACCTGAATAAAACCTTAAGGATAATAAAGTTCACTATGATATAGATTGAGGAACGGTTGTCCATCATTTTACTTGGAAGTATTATAAAATGAAAGGAAAGGGTGGTATGAAATTACTCATTAAAGTCCTTCTCTATTCTAGAAAAGAAAGGAATGTGTGTGTGTGTGTATGTGTGTGTGTGTGTGTGTGTGCTGGTTTGCTGGGACAGGAAAGAAGAGTAAGGTCAGAAGGAAAATGACTATTGTGTTGTGAACATGTTGAGTCTGAAGCACTCCCGTGGGATATGCAAGTAGAGATGCAGAGATTCACAATACACAAGTGGATCTGTGGGTGGGTACAAAGAGGAAGAGAGAGACACAAGCGTGGAAAGCAGTTAGAACTTAGATGGCAGCTGGAACCATGTGAGCACTGGGCACACTGCCACCATGAGTGACACAGTGCCCCAATATGGCAATGACCACTTGGACATTATAAAAAGCCATCCCAAGACTGATGCATCTGAGAGTGACAGACAAGGCTTAGCTATCTAAATGACTAGTTATTTCATAAACAAAACGTATCCAAATCCAAAAGTAAGCTTTCTTAGCACTCTAAGATTTGAGAATATAGGCAACATATCATTTATCCTGGAAGTATTTAGAACTCGCTAGAGAAGCAATGTGGTTTCCATTAGCCAATGGAAAGCTGACTATTCCATGATCTAGCACTGTAAGGTGGCTGGTGGAGAGGGTGCAGGTTTGGGATGGAATGCTCAGAAAGTGCTTCTCTCAGAAAGATGGCCTCAAGAGAGCATGAAGAAATGAGTGGAGCTTTTGTAGGAGGAGAGAAAATGAAGCAGTATCACAGGCCCAAGAGACTACCAGGGCACTAGGCCATGCTGGGCAGAGAGCTTTCCCTTGATAACAATCTGCAGATATCAGAATGCTGTAGGAGAGCTCAGGGAAGCAGCTGGCTGGTTAGAAGCAGACAATGCCTGCTGGTAGTAGCCAAGGTAAGACTGAAAGGTCATGTGCATGTTTGCTTTCAAATATACCAAACTCTCTCCTGCTGAGATAATGGCATTATTTTTGAATATGTATTTTAGGCTCTGGCTTTCCTATCATGAAACCAAATCATGTGGTTAGAAAATTTCAATACTCATGATTTGAATGCTCAAATATTCACAAAAGGAAAAATATCTTTCCCCAAAATGGGTTCCCATTACATTCTTGTCCAGTGTTTCTTTTCTTTTGATATTGTTTATTTTTTTAAGGGTGCGGCTGAAAATTTATCACAGACTTATGGAACTATACTCATTGACATCCTGTCAATGCTTCTGGGATGCTGCTTGATTTCCTAAACTAAGGACATCACTAGATTTTATAATCTGCTTGAGTCTATTCCGCTGTTCTAGATCAAAACATTTTCCAAAATAATCTAAAACTTATTTAAAATACAACCAGAAATTACAGGGTGAATTTAAATTTCAAGGCCCTAGTAGTCCACGATAAACAGTGATGGAAATGAATGACTGAAAAGGCCTTGGTAAATGCTCAACTAGACCGTTCCGCTAAGGATCTCGGGGAAAGCTAGATTCTAATACTTATTATTCCTATACTTCCTTTTACCGTCTGGCTAGGAGGAAGCAATATCCTAAGCCATGTAAGTCAATGAAAGTCAGCAGAGAAGCTGATTCAGAGGCAAGCGCATTCACTCATTCTCTCATTTATTCATTCAACAAACACTGGCTTAGCACTTTAACCACAAGTACTGCACTGAACCTCAGCGTGGCAGTGCTCAGTAAGAAGCATGGCCCTGCCTTTAAGGAGCTTCTACTATGAACTCAGCTCTAGGTTACAGCAATGTCAAATCACACACAGAATTTTAACTTAAAAGCTTCCTCTCCAGAGTAATTAGAGTGGGACACTTTTGTAAAATGTATGTTAGTGTACCATTCTATTAGCAATTCAAATAAGTAGAGAGTCTACCTTTTCCTTCAGATCTACTTAAAGAAAACACACACTGGGTTGGGGGTGTGACTCAAGTGGTTTAGCACCTGTCCAACAAGTACAAGGTCTTGAGTTCAAACCCCAGTACCACCAAGAACAAAAAAATGCTTTATGAATCATGAGATCCAGAATTCCAGAATTTACTCGTAAGAAATCACTGAGTTTATTGAGCTTAATCTTTTAGGAGAAATTCCTCATGGAGTTTATATTTTAAAAATATGTATGTGCTATAAGAATTCTAAAACAAATGTATGAATCTTTACTGAATCCGTTTAGTAACTTCTCTTTGCCCATAATTTCCATAGATGATTACAATTACCTGTTCGTATGCCCAGAACTTCACAGCTGTCTCTGGAGCAATTTTAATGACATTTATGCCATTTCCTCTCCAAAGGGAACGAACACCTCCTTCTTTTACCATCTGGCGAAAGCCACCAAATATGTTCATTGATTTTGAACCATGAACCTAAAAACAAAAGCAAAGTAATATAAAATCAACTGCAAGTAGCTGATACAGTACTAAATGAGTCATATAAACTCTTTTCAATACTGTTTATTTAATGGCCAGGAGATCTATCTGAAAATAAAGTATATGATGGGAGGAATTACCACCACATGTTTTTCTCATTTTTGAGGCAAACGTTTATGTCTCACTCTAAAAACTACAAGTTTAATTGGTATCTTTAGCAGGGGAAATGGAGAGAATATGGTCAAAATTAAGTGATTATGAACAATATACATAAAAGAAACCACATGATACATTACACTGAAACACCCTTTGAAACAAGAGAAATAAAAAAGAAAACTCCAAAATAGTAATCCAGATATGAGTGATAAAAATGATTTGGCTATTACATACATCAAAGCCATAGAAACTAGAATGCACAAAGCCTGAAAACAAAAAGGGAAATGTACCTTAACCTATGGGTTATCTCTCAAGGTCTTGGTAGGCAATAAATAGAAAACAACGTGCATCCACAGCCCAGCCCAGTTAATGCTGATGAATTAAGTTAGGGCAAATGAATTACTTGGCTGATACCATAGATGAGGTAGTCCTTTAAATATGCCAAAATGTATGTTTAGCTATAGAAGAAAATTAAATCTAATAAAATTGAAAAGAATTTTAGTTCCAGTCATTTCAGCATATACACAAGAAACTACCACTAAAAGTGAAAGGAAGGAAGGAAGGGAGGGAGGGAGGGAGGAAGGGAGGGAGGGGGGAGGGAGGGAGGGAGGGAGGGAGGAATGAAGGAAAGAAAGAAGGGAGGGAGGGAGGGAGGGAGAAAAATGCGGGAGGGAAGAAAGGGAAGAGAGGGAGGAAAAGGAAAGGGAAATAAAAGTATCAAAAGAAGGAGGGAAGAAAGGAGGAAGGGAAGGAAGGGAGAGGAGGGAGTAAGGAAGGGAAAGGAGAGAGAGAGCAGGAAGAAGGAGAGAAGGAAGGAAAAGAAAGGGAGAAAAAGAAGATGGAAGAAGTTAAAGGACTCAAATGGTTTTTCTTTCTTGCGATTGTTTTTAACATATTTATAAGATGATTTCTTTGTTGCTTTGTATGTCCCTCCCCCATGGTATAAACCCTATTTTCACTGTATTTGATGTAGGTATAATTTGTCCAGGGGAAGGTGGACCCATTGCAACAATGAGACATACAAGGCGTGATGTTGAAAAACGAACTTCACAACTTTGGCGGGGTGGGGGGGCGGTGATGGGAGTGCAGGGACGGTAAGGAGAAACAAAGGAGGAGGCAACAATGCTTGGTAAGAAATGTACTCATTACCTTGCCCATGTGATTGCAACCCCTCTCTACAGTATTTACACAATTTAAAAAACATCAATTAATTTAAAAAGACTGAAGGTCATCCATGCAGCTAGAATAGAATGTGGCCCAAATAAAAATGCTGGACACCAAAGGCTGGGCTGAGCCTCCCTGCAGTGCCCTGTGTTCGCTCCACATCAATGCCAATAAAGTACAGCATTAAGACTCCACAGCAACAGGACGAGAGACGCTCTGAGGCTGGTACTTCCCTGGACTCAGCCCTCTGTACTTCCTTTGCTTGGCTGATTTTAATCTTTATCTTTTCCCTGTAATAAAACAGGAACCATGGGTATAAAACCTTTTTGAGCACTGTGAGTATATCAAACCTGAAGATGACTTTGGAAACCACCTCAAATTTGCAGAATCTAAAGTCCTGAAAAATCCATTTTTGTCTAAATAAATAAGCTTCACAATAGATTTTTAGGAAAACGTGAGTGCTTAAGCTTCTTCGAAGTCAATTTGCTACTGTTCCTAATAGAAAACACATATACCAATGCCCACCCCCTTTTCTTAAAAACACCATGCTTGTCCCTAATTTTGAGACTTAGCTACATTCTGAAAAAAAAAAAAATCTTAGAAATTGGGCTAGGCTCAGTGGCTCACACCTGCAAACCCCAGCTATTCAGGAGATGAAAATGAGGAAAAGTGTAGTTCAAGACTAGTCTAGGCAAAAAGTTAGACTGATATCACTAATGTCTCAACAAGTAAGTCAAGTTTGTTGGTCCATGCCTGAGGCAAGCCCAGGCCAAAATATTAGATCATATCTAAAACATAACTAAAGCCAAAGGACTAAAACCATGGCTCAAGTAATAGAGCATCTGCCTAGCAAGAATGAGGGCCTGAGTTCAAGTCCCAATACTACCAAAAAAAAAGGATCAGCAATATTTGTGTACAAAAGTCTTAAACAAAAAGTTTTAAATATACATTTATGTGTATATGTATGTGCATATCTATATAACACAACTTTTAAAATAATTTTTAAGCAGCTTCTGTATTTCAGTAGGTTATTCAAGTGTCCCAGTGTACTGGGTTGTCTTGTAAGGTCATCCTGTTAGATCTTACAATTTCAGAATGAAGAAAAATAAGACCTCAATGGCCACACAAAGTGTGAGAACTATAAGCTCAAGTGGTAAAAACATGCAATTCCTGGTCTAGCTAATTAGCTCATTAGAAAGGGAAAGTTAGTGAACTCTTACAGCCTCAGGTACTCCACGGATAGCATAAGAATAAATACCTACCTAGCTGAACTACAAAAATTCCTCCTTATACATAGATAACATGCAGTTTTAACCAAGTTTATTAAAAATAATGATAATGTTTTAAATCAAAAGAATTTTTTACACCTCACTCCAGTTAGAATGGCAAAAATCAAGAACTCTAACAACAACAGATGCTGGAGGGGATGTGGACAGAAAGGAACCTTACTTCATTGTTGGTGGGAATGTAAACTTGTTCAACCACTTTGGAAAGCAGTATGGAGGTTCCTCAAAAGACTTCACATAGAGCTCCCCTATGACCCAGCAATCCCACTTTTGGGCATTTACCCTAATGTTTACAAACAAGACCACACTAAAGCTACCAGCACAACTATGTTTATTGCATCATTATTTACCATAGCTAAGATATGGAACCAACCCAGATGCCCCTCAGTAGATGAATGGATCAAGAAAATGTGGTATATATACACAATGGAATTCTATGCCTCCATCAGAAAGAATGACATTGCCCCATTTGTTAGGAAATGGAAAAACTTGGAAAAAATTATATTAAGTGAAGTAAGCCAGGCCCAAAGAAACGTAGGTCCCATGGTTTCCCTTATTTGTAATAACTAGTATATGTATGAGTCAAGCAGAAAAGGTCAGATAATGTGATGTCAGGAAAATGAACCCTTAGATGTGTATTTTAATGTTTTTTTTCTTTCATGCATGTGTTTCTAAACATTTATAAGATTATCTCTTTGTTGCTTTGTATGTCCCTCCTCCACAGTATAACCCCTGCTTTCACTATATTTGATGTCAGTATAACTTGTGGAGGAGATGGGGAAAAACCAGTTGTTTAAGGATACAGGTGGACCTGTTGCAACAATGAGAAGTACAAGTTGTCATGTCCAAAACGAGCTTTACAACGCTGGTGCGGGGGGGGGGGGGGGGGGGGGGGGGGGATTGGGATTAGGGGGGGAGGGGGGGAGGCTGGGAAGGGATGTGAAGGATAAACAAAGGAGGAGGCTGCAATGCTTGGTAAGAAATGTACGCATTATCCTGCCCATGTAACTGTAACTCCTCTGTACAGTATGTTCACAAATAAAAATTAAATTAAATTTTAAAAAAAAGAATTTTTTAACTTTAAGCGAAACTTTCCAAACATCACTCAGCTCCATGGATATCAAGAAACTCCTGGCCAGTCCCATGTTATCGTCAATCATGTTTAAATCTTTGTGTGATCTATTGAATGTCTCCCTGCCTTTGAATTTTGTGGAATCTGCCTCCCCCCAAAAAGCAAGTGGTGCCCCCCAAAGCAAAGTGAACATTATAGTAATCCTCCCACGTCTTAAAAGGCCATGCAATGTGCTTAAATGAAGCACCAAGTGGAAATCTAAGATTTGTTCAAAGGTGGCACATCCTTTAGTGGAAGTTGGTCAGTGATATGGAAGAAATGACTCAAACATGTGCAGCACCACCCTGAACTCTTTCTCAGGTGTGTTCTCTTTGAAACCAGGTACCCATGAGTACCAAGGGTCTGCTGTATTAATTCATTTCCATTCCCTGCTCCTTTCTAGGCCTAATACCACACTGAGAGTGAACAGAGAAGCCAGTCTATAAATCCAGGTCTTTTTCTGCTAATCTTAGCTTTTAAATAATTTTTAAAATTGTATCTTTATCCCCTGATTCTAGATTTCAGAAATGCCCCACTTTTAATAAAGTAACATAAAAATGAGTGAAAATACAAGTAATTTAACGTGAACACTATAATAATGGCTAGAGGATTTTTTTTTTAATGAAACAGTTGAATAATCATAGAAAGCCAAAGATTAAAAGCTCTTACACACATACACCCACCAATAATTTAAGGTTTGGCAGAATATTGCCAAGTACTTACATGGACTGAACTAAGGGTTAATAGCAATAAAATAAAACGTTTTTTTTTTTTTAAGGTATGACAAACTATTACTGGAACATTTTGAAACCTCTTTTTGAGAACGAGAGAATGAATTTTTAAATACAGTGCAACTGTGTAAGAAGACAGTATACAGCAGCTCAGTGAAAGCTGCTGAGAGATTCGAGTGGGAAAATTCAAAGCAACACATAATACATGCTTGTTAAAATTAATACACGGTCTAAAACAACAACAGGGAGGCAAAATAAGACGCAAATGGAGTTGGGGGGGACCGGTAGGAAAAAGAAAAGGCTAACAAGAGGGTGAGTATGGTTCACGTAGATTATTTGTATGAGTGAAAATAGAACAATGACACTTGTTGAAATTGTTGTAAGAAGAGGACGTGGGATAAAAGAGACTGGAAACCGAGGTAAGGTTGATGGGTTATGTAGTTTACACATATGCAGGGGTCATGACGAAATTACCCTCGTACAGCTAACATAGGCTAATTTAAAAAACAGAAACTTAAAATCTTTTTCCAAAGCAGCACATGACCCAGAGCAAGGCCCTGGAGCTCACCTGCATCATGACCTTCAAGCGATCTAGAGGGGCAGTGCTTGTTCGAGAGACAGCCCCAGCAATGCCTCCAGACAACAGCTGCCGCCACCATTGCCCCGACTTCTTCTCTTCTTCTGTGAACTCATCAGGAATAGTTAAACTGTCCCCTATGTCAATCCCCTGTGCACACGGGAGAAAAAGACCATCTTACTCCTTCGGCTAAAAACTGACTCTCCAACGAGAGGCTTCTGCTGGTGTTAGTTCTAGAGAACCATGCATTATTTTGGTTAAGATTATCTATATTCCTCAGAACTTACAATAAGCCAATCTAAGCACTTAGATGATTATAGTCTGTTCACACTAAATATAATGTAGTATCAGTTCACAAGAAATGAAAATAATTACCAGTTTAATTTACCAATAATAAAGTTAATGACCAACTTTACCAAATCAATCATTAATTACTGATTTTACCAAAGGGATGATTACCACATGCATTTAATAAGTTACCAATTTTTACTAAAGCAATTATTACCAATTTTATCAAATCATTACCACATTCAATTAATGTAATTACCAATTTTTATCAAATCAATAATGACCAATTTTTTATCAACTCAATCGTTAACAACATTCTTTATTTATAGACTAGGTGACTTTTGTTTAAGTTATAATAAAAGAACAGCATTTCATCAGATATAGTGAATCCTTTCTAGTATACTTTCCAGGATGCTAGACAAGCATTAGTGATGACAACTTTTAAGAAATTAGGCCAGGTACCAGTGGCTCACACCTGTAATCCTAGCTTCTCAGGAGGCTGAGATCTGAGGATCCCTGTTCAAAGCCAGAATCTTCATGAGACTCTTATTTCCAATAAACTACTCAGAAAAAGCTGGAAGTGGCACTGTGGCTCAAGTGATAGAGCACTAGCCTCAAGCACAAAGAGTTTCAGAGACAGTGACTCCAGGCCCAGGATTCAAGTCCTGGGACAAGAAGAGGAGAGAGGAGAGGAGAGGAGAGGAGAGGGGAGGGGAGGGGAGGGGAAAGGAGGGGAGGGGAGGGGAAGGGAGGGAAGGGGAGGGGAGGGGAGGGGAGGGGAGGGGAGAGGAGAGGAGAGGAGAGGAGAGGAGAGGAGAGGAGAGGAGAGGAGAGGAGAGGGAAGTGGGGGAGAGAAGGAAGGGGGGGGAGGAGAGGGGAGGGGAAGGGAGGAGAGGGGAGGGGAGGAAGAAAGGAAGGAGGGAGAGAAGGAAGGAGGAAAGGAAGGAAGGAAGGAAGGAATTAAGTTTGTCAGTTCCTCAAAAGTATATCTACATATGACACAAACCATGGCACATTACTTTATAAAATGAAACAAAAACCCTGTTCTTCCTCCATGGTATAACCCCTGTTTTCACTGTATTTGATTCTGGTGCCCTGCATCTTGTATATACATTTTTCTAATTTGGGGAGGGGGAAAGGGAAATAACAAAATGCTGTAACAAGGATACAGGTTGACCCATTGTAACAATGAGATGTATAAGACACTATGTTGAAAATGAACTTTACAATTTGGGAGGGGAGGAGTTGGGGATGTGGGGAGGAAAGAGATGGTAGGGAAAAAAAACAAAGGAGGGGGGTAACAATGCTTGATAGGAAATGTACTCATCTTACTAATATGTGACTCTCCCTAAGCTCGGTTCCTATATTGACTCTCTATAAATAGTTTTACAAATCTGGCTTGTTACTTAAAGCATGCAAGAGATTGTATGTAAAATTTAGCAAGTAGGTGGATATTATGTGAAATGATCATTCATCATACCTGTCCTAAACATTGCTACAGGTTACAAATGTAGCTTGAAAGAAATGAAATTCTATAATCATGTTCTTATAATTATCTAACTCATTTTGGTTGACATCAGAGATTTCACAGGCAAGCATGTAAGGGTAAGGAGTGAGGCCATGGAAATGACCTTCCCTTCTCTCAGTTTACAATAAAAAATGAGTAATACTTCATATAAGTATTAAATGTGACCAACTGAACTGCTAATGTAGCACTACTTTATTTTATTTTATACTCACAGTTGAATGGATATTAATCACCAACAATTTTCATAGTGTTTAGGCATTGCTGCTAATGGCAGTATATGAACTCTAGGCTTCATTTAACTTTGCTGAAATCCATGAGTGAATATAGAAGGGAAGCTCACTCTCTTCCTCCAGAGAGTCCCCAATGGCCTCCAGAGGAGATGATGCAGAGGAAATTTCATTTCAGTACCACCTTATTTTAGCAGAATATTGATAAAACTTAATCAAAATGTAAAAGCTTGTGGAATACCAACTTGTGTGAAATACTGTGCAAATGAGCCAAAATATTACATAACCTTCAGTGAGTTCACTGAGTATCCTCAACCCATGCCAGAGATACATGTAGGAGCCTGCCTAAATAAGCCTAAGTTTCAGAAGGGACCTGAGGCTACATCAACATGGACAAGGTAAGCCCTTAGTAGTCATAGGTGTTGCGATGATGTGGGCATTATGTGACTTTTAGACTTCTTCCTGGCAGAAGACGTATATGCTAATTAAAGCTGCACAGCTCATGCATCAAGGTGGTCCTTCTAATTTTGGACAATGGCATGATATTAAAGACTTTTGCATGTTTGTCTAATAAATTTCTTCAAGATAAGGAACTACTGGGGTTTGGGCACCCTGACTGAGGTGTTACACGGGGGTTCTTGGGTGGTATTTCTGTGGATGGCATGCAGTTCCAAAGAAGTATAATGACACAAAGCAAACTCACTGTAGAATGTTTCCAGAAACGAATAATTTCCTGGATGTCTGAAGCAGGATTAAATAAGAAGTAGTCCCTCCATTCATTCCAATCCACTGTCATTGTCCCATCGGCATCAATACTGAAAGAATTTTTAAGAGATTAAAGAACACAGGGACAAAGCTGGTATTACTGGCCATCATACACAATAACAATTTCTTTTTCCAATGTAATATACTTATTAAAAACTTAAACCCCATCATACTAGGTTGTCAGAATTAGCAGCAGGCATTTAAAGGTCCTGTAAGGTAGGTTTAACTACCTAGACAAAAAGAAACCCCAACATTACAGTGAGAGCTCACTAAAGATTGCCACAGGCACCCTGTCATGAGCTATAAAACACAAAACCTAGACAATTAAATACTGGAAAGTAGTCATGAATGAATTATGATCCATGTTTGCTTGCACTGACTCCGGAAGTTTTGTTGGGTTGTTTCGTTTTTTGGTTTCGTTTTTTTTGTGTTTGTTTTTACCATTCTGTTACAACATTTGGATGCAATTTTGAAATATGCTACAATTTGCTTTTCCAGCTTGCATGTTAAAAAGAAAAAAAAAACAGTGATTGTAAGAAATCAAAGTCTTATTAAGTAGGCCTTTAAATGCTTAAGAAATCCTGGAAATAAAGGACATAAATTAGAAAGGGTGAAATTAAATTTTCACTGTTTGCAGATGACAGGATCTTAAGTATAGAAAACGGCAGAGACTACACACACACAAAACAAACTATTCAATGAATGCAGAAGAGTTTTAGTGTACCAAGATCAGTATATAAAAATAAGTATCATTACTATATTACAATACAGAAAAATCAATGTAATAGCTAAAAAAAACCCAAAGTATTCATTTAATCAAAGATATAAACAACCTTCAATGAAAACCATAAAATGTTGGTGAATAAAATTGAAGATAACACAAAAATCAGCAAGACATCTCATGTTTGTACCTCATTTTCACCTTTAAAATTAACATGTTATAATCTTAAATATTTAACACAAACTTTTTGCGTGTTTTACAACTCTATTGAAAACAGAGTCCATCTGAATTGTTTTTTTCCTCCTAAGATCAATTCAGCATCATGACAGACTTTTGATTGGCTTGTTCACTACTGTAATTTTATGGAAAGGCTACAGAAAGATGGTAGTCAAATAAAATGTAATTTTGAAATACTTATTATGCTTTCTGGCGCCATTTTACATTCTGATCTGTATAAATGAAATTACACTTCATTTGTCCCAGTGCACAGACTTTGACATTCCATATCTACAGGAGAAACCAAGTCACTACTTACTTTTACAGTTCATTTTTTGTTTGCAACATCTGTAGCTTTACTGAATCACTATTTTCTATTTCATTACAATTGTTCATTATCTAACCCCATCCTCAAACTCCCAAGTATGGGCAGGATTTGGGCTGATTTTGTTCACTGGTATCTAGTATATTGCCTAATACAGAGTGGTTCAATGCCACCCTAGGCATAAAGTTTGTGAGACCTTTTCTCAACCAATAAAAGCTGGGCATCGTGGTTAATGCTTTTCATCCCAGTTACACTGGAAACTTTAATAGGGAGATTGTGGTATTATAGGCTAACCCTGACATAGTCATGAGAACCTAATCAAAAGGGCCTAAGTAGTTGCTGGCGATGTGGCTTAGTGGTAAAGTGCTTAGCTTTCATGCATGAGACCCTGGCTTGGATTCCTTGGTACCATATAAACAAAAAATAAAAGTAATAAAAACAAGAAAAAGAAAAAGGACATAAGTGGTAGAGTACCTAACTAACAAATGTGAGGCTCTGAGTTCAATGTCCAATACCATCAAATAAATAGATGATTAAATGAATGAAGCCAGGCACCAAAGCTCACACCTGCAATCCTAGATACTAAGAAGACTGAAATTGGGAGAGTTGCAGTTCAAGGTCAGACAGGGCTGACCTTGTGAGACACTTTCTTAAACCTGGGTGCAGTGATATACACTTGTCATCCCAGATACTTGAGAGAGCTAAGATCAAGACAATCACAGTTCAAGGCCAGCCTGGGCAGAAAGGTCCACAGGATTTTATCTGAACAAGAAGCTGGTCTTGATGTATGTCCCTGCCATCCCAGCTCTGACAAAATGTATGAAACAAGTAGATTACCATCTAGCCTAGACCTAGGAAAAACGTAAGACCCTATCTCAAAGATGACTAGTGCAAAAGAGGGCTGGAAGCATGACTCAACTGTAAATATCCATCTAGCAAACACAAGGCCCTTAGTTCAAACTCCAGTACCATTGAAAAAGAAAAAAAATAGTACTATTCAGTACCATGGGGGCAGGGGGGAGGAGGGGGTGGTAGAATAGGTGGTAATAAAAGAGTTATAAAAGTATCTGTACTTGAGAGGGTATGATCCCATCTTGTAAAATAGCAGATTAAGGCTGTAAATATCTGTAAATATCTGACTAAACAGCTGAACTGATGGTTCCAGGTAATGATGTTCAGATTGGCACTGAGTTCTGAGAATTAAAGTCAATAGTTATCTGATCACTGGGAGACCTTTGGAATTTTTCCTCATCTAGCCACCTAAACACCTAAACAATTTGCTAGACAATTTACCTAGAAAAAAATGAGTTCTATTGTCACCACAGAAAGCAAGAGGAGGAAGACAAGAAACAGCCAAGTCCTTGTCACCTTGTGCCCGACTGTAACACCTACAGCTGTTCCACTCTCTGGGCTCCCGCTCCCATCCCTGCCTGTAGACACATCAAGGCATACACAAAACAAATACAGGGAAAAAAGAAAGACAAACAATGGCCACCAAGAATAATGAATAGTGCAGTACAGAAAAATGCTTTAAAGCCTCACTTAACACATGCAGCTCTCTAATGAGGAATATTAAAGTGAGAATGGAAAATAACCATCAAGCTGGGCACTAGTGGCTAACATCTGTAATCCTAGCTACTCTGGAAGCTGAGATCTGAGGATCACAGCTGAAAGCCAGCTCCTGCAAGAAAGTCTGTGAAACTCAATAAACGACCAATAAAAGATGAAAATGGAGCTGTGGCTCAAGTGGTGGAGCACCAGCCTTAAGTGAAAAAAAGCTAAGGGACAGAGCCCAGGCCCTGTGTTCAAGTCCCAGTACCAGCACAAAATAGTAGTAGTAGTAGTAGTAGTAGTAGTAGTAGTAGTAGTAGTAGTAGCAGTAGTAGTAATAAACAGGACAAGGAGCTTACCTTTCTAGAATCAATTGTGCTTGTTGTTCAGAAATATTTACACCCAGGGTCTTGAGAGACTGGACAACTTCTGATGCCTCAATTTTTCCTTTAAGCAAATGAAAACAACAGAAACTCAGACTCAGAATTGACAAAGATCTTGGAAATTGAATTTTCAATTCTTCTATTCAAGAGAAAGATTTATAATGATTAAGGCAAAATTATGTGTCTAGGTACATTATAGATCAGCTTAAATCCATATTAGCACATCAATACTCAAACTTGGACCAAGTAAACATGAACATGGAACAAAAATATATGCACATCATTTAACTCAGTAATCACTGACAATCATATGGCTAAAACCTGACATTCCACAGAAGATCCCAGAGTTCCAATAGCCTTACTCAGTGATGAAATTAAGAAGTAGCAGTCCCTACGTCTCAAGTAGATAGAGCACCAGTCATGAGAAAGAAAGTCAAGCAGGAGCACAAGGGCCTGTGTTCGAGCCCCGGTACCTGAGTTCAAGACCCAGTACCAGCACTAATGCAAAAAAAAAAAAAGAGAGAGATAAAGTGTTACTGTTTACATTTGCTGTAAATGTGTCATTAAATGGACCATTGTCTTTTAGCTACTCAGGAGGCTGAGATCTGAGGATCATAGTTCAAAACTAAGTTTCTGAGACTCTAACTTCCAATTAACACCAAAAAGCTGAAATGGAGCTGTGGTTCAAGTGGTAGAGTGTTAGCCTTGAAGGGAAAGAAAGAAAAAAAAGCTCAGGGCCTGAGTTCAAGTCCCAGGACTGGTACACATACACACACACAAAATATCACCTTTATTTTATTAGAATTTTCTGTGAAGGACATGGATATGTGTATGGCTTGTGTGCTGGGATCACTGGCCACTAATTATCTGGCAGTTGATCCTGAGGTAGTTCCATTTCTCCACTTTGGGCTTTCCTAAGTTTATCAAGAAAGTTTCCACCACAACTCAACTGAAAAGTGACCAAGTTAAGACAATATGGGTATATTCAAGGTTATATGGCCATAGACATTCAAGATTTCTGTCTTTTTTTTTTTGGTAGTACTGGACTTGAACTCAGGGCCTTGCTTTTTATTAGACAAGTGCTCTACCACTTGAACCAGCCCTTCCAGTTCAGAGTCCAAACTAGACTGAAAATTTGCAGAAAGGAAGGCAAGCTGATTGTAAGATCTGAATTATGCTTGACAATTAGAGGAAGACTAGAATGGGGACAGGCATAAAGGTTTATCAGAAGACAAGGATGCTCTCATAGTTCTATCTTCTATCATAAGCTCAACTCTTCCTGACATAGAATCATAGACTTGAACCAAACTCATTCTAAATTAGTTGAATCTACTTGGTTTGTAAGAATTTGCTTTGAATTTAGCTTTAGTGTAAATCAGTAACTTTCAAGCAAAATAAGCCTTGTTGACTGTCTTTGTAAATAAAGTTTTATTGGAACACAGCCAAGCCTATTGGTTTGCATATTGTCTATGGCTAGGTAGCCACAGCTAAGACCTCAGTGCCCATGATGCTAAAATATTTATGTCTAAACTTTTATGTGATGTTTGCCATTACAATATAAACCCCATTTTCTCTCAATCTATTTGTTCAACTTCTTTACTGAATAGCAAGTCTATGGAATGAGTGACCCTGACTCTTTATAAAGAGAGAGGAATGTAGAGCTATGTTATAACCTTGATATATTTCCTCTTTCACGATTGTTGCTAGAGATGGGAGGTTCATGGTGCTTCCCTTTCTCATACCATGGCCTTTGTTTTATGCCCTTCATAACTGGGACTCTAAGCTACTCCTATAAATAGAGAGGACATAATACCAATCAGAAAGTATATAGTTAAATCTCACATGCTATATGCTACCTATATTTTCCTTTAATTTTCAAGAGCAAAGTCCTTTTTTTTTCTCTTTCTGCTGGTCCTGGGGCTTGAACTCAGAGCCTGGGCCCTGGGCCTTTTTATGCTCAAGGCCAGCACTGTACCACTTGAGCCACAGCACCACTTCCAGCTTTTTCTGAGTAGTTTGTTGGAGATAAGAGTTTCATGAACTTTTCTGGCCAGGCTGGCTTCAAACCATAATCCTCAGATCTCAGCCTTCTCAGTAGCTAGGATTATAGGCATGAGCCACCAGCACCTTGTTCCTCCTTAATTTTTTTAAAAAAATATTAAATATAAGATAATCTGAAAGTTTTTAAATTTTAGAATATACAATATCCATGCCTATAAATGAACAGAAATAAATCTTTTTTACAGAAAAGGCAAGTATGTATTATTATTATTGTTATTATTATTATTGCAGTACTAAGGCTTGAACTCAGGCTTCTTGCTTGCTAGGCAAGTATTCTCCATGGAGCCATGCCTCTAGCCCTTTTTGCCTTAGTTATTTTTCAGATAGAATTTCAAGTTTTCACCCAAGGGTCAGTCTCTGACTACTTTCCTCCTACGTATAAACTTCTGTGTAGGTGGAATTATAAGTGTATACCCTAGCTTGTTTGTTGAGATGGGAGTCTCACTGATTTTCCTGGGCTAGCTTCAATTTGTGATCCTTTCAATCTCTAATTCCCAAGTAGCTGGGATTATAGGCATGTACAACTACACCCAGCCTTTTTTTTTTTTTTTCCATCCTGGGGCCTGAACTGTGGGTCTGGGTGCTGTCTCTCAGCAATTCAGCTCAAGGCTAGCACTCTATCACTTGAGCCACAGCGCCACTTCTGGCTTTTTCTGCTTATGTGGTGCTGAGGAATCGAGCCCAGGGCCTCATGCATGCAAGGCAAGCACTCTACCACTGAGCCACCTTCCCCTTCTTTCCAGGCCTAGCTGGTTGAAGTTTTTTTTTTTTTCCCCAGCCTATTTTTTTAACCCTTAGCTTTAAGTCACATCAGCATATTGACTGTTCTATAATTAACATTTTATGTCCATTTTTAATTCAGTAGACCATGCTATCTGTAAGTTTTCTTCATTAAAATATGAACTGTAAAGAAAACTAAGATTATTAAAACAAATGAGTGAACAGTAACACAAGAAATAATTACATCTTGAAAAAGAATAAATATGGCATCAATTTAGACTTTCAAAAGTCCAAAAAATGTTTCTTCAAAACTGGTGAAAAACAAAAAATGAGAAAGACACACCATCATTATTTCTGTCCAAAGTTTTAAAGGCCAATTTCATTTTTTTCTCATGGTCTTTGAGGTACTTCGAAAATTCTTCAAAATCCAGCTTCCCATCTTTGTTGGTATCTCCAGTATCAAAAATTTTCTATAAATAAATAAAAATAGAAACAATTTTATTGTAAATATGAACCAGAGTGCTAAATTATCTTAATACCTCAATCCAACTGTGTGCAAATGTACATGTACACGCATGTACACACACACATACATACGTACATACACAAACACACACATGACCAAAAATTCCATTACAGCACAAACTTAAATGTAAGTATCCCACTACAAGACATTTCTAAATCTTTTTGCTAAATTTGATAAGAAAAATTATGTTTTTATTTCAATAAAACACAGCAATGTTGGGGGGGGGGGTGCTGTTACTGGGGCTTAAACCTATGTCCTGAGTGCTGTCCCTGAGCTTTTGCACTCAAGGCTGGTGCTCTACCACTTGAGCCACAGATCCCCTTCCAGTTTTCCATGCTTAACTGGACTTTCTTGCCTGGGCTGGCTTTGAAGCACAATCTTCGGGTCTCAGCCTCCTGCATAGCTAGGATTACAGGCATAATCTACCCGTGCCTGACTCTACAATACTTTCAAGGAAGTAGTAACAGCAATGTTTCAGAGAAGTGGAAAGGTGACAATATTTCTCAACCCACTTGATGAGGCAGATCTACCCTTCATGCCATCTCTTCAAAAAGAAAATTATTAGCAATGCCACTGGTAATACATATATAAAATGCCTAAAGGATGGTAGATCAAATGCCATAATATATAAAATTATATGTACTATTTATATATTTTATATGGAGGGCAGATAAACAAGTTAAAATGGAATGTTAGGTTAACATTAAGAAATCTTGTAATTTATAGCATAAACAGAGAAAGTCATATGATTATCTTAATAAATATTTGATGAATTCAATATCTTGATTAAGAACTCTTAGAAGCTCATGTCTGTAATCTCAGCTACTTAGGAAGCAGAGACTGGGAGGATATGGATTGGAGGCCAGCCAGAGAAATATTGCATGACCTCATCTCAACCAATAAAGCTGGGCATAGTGGCCAACTTAACTACATGTCATCCTAGCTCTTCAGGAGAAGGGGTAGGAAGAGAATTTATTCAAAAAATAAAGCCAAAAGGACTTCAGTTATTTATACTCAGGTGGTAGAGTGCTTGTTTAGCAAGCATTTAGCAACCCCCACCAAAAGAAAAAAAAAAAACCTCTTAGCAACTAGGAATAGAAAAGTACTTCCTTAGTCTGATAATGGGTATCTACAAAAATAGTCCAGCCTTTTTTTGTCTAAGCTAGTTTCTTTTCCAGTATAACCTAAAGAGGCTTGATTAAAATACTACTGCTTACTTTCTAGAAAATAATGATTGTTTTTCAATTTCTTTTTCAAATTACTCAACTGAGATTTGCATCCTTCAGGAGAAAATGTCAAAGCATTCTGAAGGCCCATCTATATCTCCAATTCTGTATCTTGTTCCATGTACATATCAATAAATAACTTCCATTTGGGAACAAAGTGTCTTTTACCCTGTCTTTGCAAATCAAAGAAAAGAAACAATGGCCAGGTATGGTAGTTCACCCCTGTAATCCTAGCTACTCAGTAGCCTGATACCAATAATAACAGTTCAAAGCCAGCCCAGGAAGGGAAGTCTAGAAAATTTGTATCTCCTATTAACCACTAAAAGGCCAGAAGTGAAGGTGTGGCTCAAGTGGAAGAGCACCAGCCTTGGGCAAATAAATTAAGGGATACTGCTCAGGCCCTAAGTTCAAGCCCCAGTACAAGCACCCCCCCAAAAAAATCCCACAGGAATAAAACCACTATACAATGTAATTTTCTATTGCTTTTAATCAATTGAATTTTCAGTCTATACAAATAATTGTCCTACTAGAAAACTAAAGACATGTGCACAGCTTCAACTCAGAAAATCTTGGAGAGGTGACTGTCACCTGAAGAAAAAGGCCAACATCTCTCCTGGAAAACACGATGCCCATGTTTGGTGAGAAGCCCCTGCGTACCTCTGCTTGGTTTGATGTGTGAACCTTCATCAGCCATCACTAACTAGAAAAAATTTTCGTATGGTTTCCACTCCATCTTTTACCAAAAGCGGGGGGGAAAGATTTGTAAAGAAACTTTTTGACAAGAAATAACTATGTTTTGCAGGATGGCACTTGTTATGGCATAATCCAGAAGATCTACTAAAAGGCATAAGAGCAAATACAAATCATAATTTACATACTGAAATGCAAGTGTGGCTTTAAAGATGGATGGAGAGCATTTAGCTCTAAAAATAATTGCACTTCCATACTTTCAGGACTTCAAGAACTAAAGGGAGCTTTTAAAAACTAGAACTATGGAATCCACTCTTCTACAGACAGCACCTGTTCCAGGTGGTAGCACAGATCATTTGGGCTCAGAACTTCAGTTGCTGGTCATTTGGCCACATACGTAGCCTTTGGGCCTGTGGCAGAGCAGCACATCCAGGCAGGGGAAAGCCCCACTCCAAGTGCCAGGAAGCCGGGAGAAAGAGGAAGGACCTAGGTTCACAATCTCCTTCAATGGTACAGCCCCATATGACAGAGACTTCCACCTAGGTCCCAAATCTTAAAAATCCCCCTCCTCCCATCTCCTAATAATACCACTGTCTGGAGACCAAACTTTTAATCCTGGGATCTTTGGGAAAGACACTCATCCAAATCAATAGTTAAATTATGAAGAAACCAGGATACAGTGTTTGATACATAGAACATGCTCAAAATACAACTAATGACTAAATGGATATTTAAAGACTTCTAGCTGGATACCAGTGACTCATACCTGTAATCCAAGCTACTTAGAAGGCTAAGATATGAGGATCATGGGTCATAGCCAGCTCATGCAGACAAATCCAAGAAACTTCTAAGTCTACATAACCAGCAAAAAGCTGGAACTAGAAGCATGGTTCAGGTGGTAGAGCACCAGCCATGTGCACAAAAAAGCTGAGCACTCAGAGCTTGAGGCCCTGTGTTCAAGCCCAATACAAGCACCCAAAAAAAAAAAAAAATACACAAACTAGTCACTCAGAAGATTGAGATCTGAGGATCCCCTAGCCCATGCAGGAAAATGTGTAAGACTCTTATCTCCAATTAACAAGGGGGAAAAATCCCTGAAGTAGAGATATGGCTCAAGTGGCAGAGTACCAGCTCTGAGCAAAAAAGCTAAGGAACAGCCCTGTGTTTAAGCCCCAGTACACACACACACACACACACACACACACAGAGACTACCAACGCTCACAGACTACCAACGCTCCCATGACTAATAGGAAGAGTTTTACAAATCCTAATGACAAAACATTTTTGTGGGCATGAAGTACTAATTACAAACAATAATAATTTCTTGAAAGTGCATGAATAAAACTGCATGAAGCATAATTTTGAGAAGGGAAGGTTCGACATTCTAGACTGCTAGGAAAGAGTTCATAAAGGAAATGGGGTCCAAGCTTGATCTTTATAATTAAGGTTACAATATGAGGACACTTCAGACCTGTCAAAGCCCGAAAGTATAAACCATTCAGACCAAACCCTTCCTAGAAACCAAAACATAACATTAGAGAATCACCTACAATTCTCTTCATCCCCAACTGGCAGGTACAGATCTAGCACCTGTTCCAGTTTGCCATCTAAGCTATTAATGACAAGTGAGTACATTGAACAAGTTGACCTCCAGAACAAAATTGTAGCTAATTAGTGGAAGAGCCGTCCAAAGTTGGGGGGAGGGGGAAATTTTGTGATAGCCAATGAGAATGGGGAGAAGATAATAGAGTATTAGTTGTGTTGGGTCATTCCTTAAAAACAAAACCAGAAGCACTCATAAACCACAAGTATTACAGAAGGCCAGGTCCAGCACAGAAATAGGGAAGTTTGGCTTCACCCCTCCACTGCTCCCAGCGCCCATCTCTCTGATCAGAACCCCTGTGAATGAAGCCTACCTCATCATCCTCCAGGGGTTGCTTGACCCCCAAATCCTGCAGGCCTTCCTGAAATTCAGATAAGTCCAAGGACCCATTTTCATCCTCATCCAGGTACCAAAAGAGGTCTCCATAGATGGCGTCCATCTATGATGCGTCCAGCACAGGGGTGACCCACACCGCAGTCCTGTGAATCCCCCGTCAGTAAAACCAGAAGAATTTCTGCCCACCACAAGTACAGCTATAAGAGACCTAAGATGGTGGCTTCCTAGAGACCTCAAAGGCAAAGAACCTGCTGGGACCACCGTGCAGGATCAGATTCGCCCCAACGGTTCCCCCCAGGAGCCGCCTGGGCGCGTGCGCACAGCACCCACAGGCCTGGCGCTACAGAAAGAGCACCGGTTCAGCGGGGTCATTCGCCCTGGTACCACCCCATGGGGCACCGAGAAAGGATGCAGCATGCTCCCCTAGAAACTTCCAGACAGACCCCAGAGCCTCAGAGCTGGCTTCGGGGGACAGATAGGAAGGATAGTGCAGACTGACATCTGTAAATGGCTGGCGGTAAGTGGGCGGCCAGCCGTTTCGAAGGAAGATGGTAGCCCCTGTCTAGAAATCCCTCTAGGATTACTGCTCTATTTTCTGTTTGCCCCATTCCTACTTTCCACTGAATTTGTTGTTGTTTATCTTTTATCTTCACTCAACAGCCAAAATGGCTCCAGGGCAAAGCCACTCTAGAGTGGAGGTGGTTGGCTGGACGGTGGAGAGGAGAATCTCAGAATGGCAACAAAAGCAGGAACGGGGGATCCAAAAGTGAAGGTGGAACTCAACTGTAGTTAGGACTGTTGCTTCTCTTCTATTTCTCTTTCTTTCTTATTTCTTTCTTCCTCCTCCTCTTCCTCCTGCCCTCTCTTTCCTTCTTCCTTCTCCTCTTTCTTCTTCCTCCTCCTCCTTCCTCCTTTCTTCCTCCTTCTCCTCCTACTCTTCCCCCTCCTCCATCTTGCTGTTGGGAATTACACCCAGAGCCTCTGATGTGTTCTTCCTGTTGGCTCAAGGTTAGTGTTCTACACCATAAGCCATACCTCCAACCTTGCTTTTAGCTGGTTAACTGGAGTTTGACAGACTTTTCTGCTC